GGACCTAGGGCTAGGTGGGGAGACCCACACTTGTCTACTAATGGGTGGGGCATGCCGCCGATGGTGCGTACCACCCTAGGGCACTCTAGGTGGGGTATGCCACCCTTAATAAGCTGTGTGTGTGTGTGTGTGTGTGTGTGAGAGAGAGAGAGAGAGAGAGAGAGAGAGAGAGAGATTCTACCCAGGTCATGGTTATTAAGGGGTGGGATCCCCAATTTTTAGTGGTATCAAGCCTTGGGTATGCCATCTTATATTAGGATTCAATTTGACCATTGATCTATGATGACATTTGAAGATTGGCCATCATGATAAAGGGAAGGATTCGATAACCCTTGTCCTTTAGTTTTCTTGACCAATTCTCTTCTAATCCAAATAGGATTAGGTTTATCCACAATATATTTGAATTAGAGTTATAATAATTTTCTAGATGCTTTCCTAATCCTTCTAAAAATCCTTTTCAAGATAACCATGTGAGGTTTATTAGCCATTTGGGCCTCATGTGCTAATATCACTGCTAATTGGTGGTGGAGCTCCAAAGTTTGGTGAACTACAGTTGCACCTCCAAAAACTAGCAGACTAGCACTACACAAGGAAGCAAGAGTTCATCAGCACATGCGCCTGTTCTTCACTAGACGCTCTTCGGAGAAGGCAGCCTTCTATTATTTGCACCTGTCATATGCACATGCTCATGGATGAGACTATGTCAGGGATTTGGCACTTCTCCTCACATGCCACCTCTTCCACGCGGGAACATCATCCCGGCACCGATCACAGCCATTCACTGACCTCGACTGAGGGATACCCTTAAATCCTCAGGGATAACCAGGCCAATTGCCCAAATCTGGTGTTCAAGGGTTTCTGTGGTTCAAAGACATGTCTTTAGGGCCTCAAACTGATCACAATCGGTGGGCAAACCACCAATCTGTCCCCTTTTAGGATCCGAGCTCCTGTTGGAGCCAACAAGGTAGTATATGGGTGTCATGGCCTTGAAAGACCGGATAAATTCAACTAGTTTGTCCAATACTTTGTGGGAACTTATGAGATATGTACAAGACATCGAGCCAATATCTATGCTCTTGTAAATATATGGAAAGATGGATAGAACAATCTAAACTTTCTTCCTTTGTGAGAATCTAGTATTCAAGAAATATTTTAGTTGAAATGAATAAGAAATGATTGGATCAAATTGAGGATAAATACGTCCATAGTTTACATAATAGTATGTGCACAGCTTTAATGTCTTGTTACTACTTGTTATTAGGTGTAGAGACCAATTCCTTGTTACATACACATTAAAATTTCAATACAAGTTACTCTTTACACACCTTTACATATACATTTGAATGGAAATTACATCAGTAAGGAACAAACACTTACCAACCGGATTTGGAACTCAAAATGATGATAAAAATCACCTCTATGTAGTCCCATACACATTTCCATTCACTTGAAAAAGTGAAGGTCGTGGAAATACCATAAAGTGGATACTTAGAAGTTCTGCTACTCTATTTACTGAGTATTACATCAAGCACTTTCAATTACAACTCCCATGACTCAAATGCAAACTTCCAATTTGCAAGGACTCAATAAACGTGTGCACTAACGAGATAAACCATGGGAAAAACCAATTCTCATAAGAAATGTTCGGATCACCTCCTTGAGACTTGACCACGCCCCACTCTGAATCTGCAGACGAATAGCAGATGTAATTTGAGCCGTTGTAATCTTACCCGAATCGTTTTAGGAACCAGCTAGAAGATCATTGTCTTAGGAATCGTTGTCCGTACAATAAGAATCGTTGGGAACAAGATTCCTAGTTTTTAAGAATTATGTTTCATCCGAAATAGATATAAGTTTTATCCACATATGGAATCGAGATTTCGTCCTCCTTGGAATCGAGATTCCGATCCCCTTGAAATCGGCACTTCAGGAGTCAATATTTATTCATATGCAGAATCGAGTTTCTGGCATCTATGGAATCGAGTTTCTGACATATGTGTAATTGAGATATGTTGCTGTTTCAAATCGTGATTCTAACATATTTGGAATCAAGTTTTTGAAGTATATGGATCAGAAATCCATGCTAGTTTGAGATTGAGATTTACAATAATATGGACTATGGACTGCATTTGACGACCCTTATCGGGAATTGAGATTTCATTTTTATGGAGAAGGAAGCCCCAAACACATCTTGAGCCTTATCAACTTTAGAACTTATATTGGATGTCTCTTATTAGAAGGTTTCCCAAATTTTAAAGTGATTGGGTTGATTGGTGAACTTATGATCATTATTTATAAAAGATAAGTATTTATAAATTGTGATTTTGACTTCATTATTATGTAGACAAAATAGGATTATGTCTACACCATGGTTTTACTTTTAATTGTATGTGTTGTATTTACTAGTTATATTTTAAATTTATAGTAAGGGCCATCTAGGGTGGCACAAGTAAATTAATGAAACAATGCACCCACTAGAAGCATTCAAAGGAAGATTTCTATTTCCATTTCCTTTAGGAAGTGCACAACGATCACAGACATTGGACATTATGTACTTTGTATTGCGTTTTTTTTTTTTTTTTTTTGATACTTTGAATTTATTTATTTTTGAATCAAGATTTAATCCCCGCTAGAATCCAGATTCCATATATTTGGGAACGTCTACCCACAATTAATGGGTTCAAGTTTCTGAAGATGTGTTGGATCGAGATTCCGAAATTAAGGAATCAAGTTTCCATGGTTCCGATAAATGGTTTTTAAAGATGTGTTGAATTGAGATTCTGAAATTAAGGAGAGTTTCCTAAGTTTCGAAAAATGGTTTCTAAAGATGTGTTGAATCGAGTTTCTGAAATTAAGGAATCGAGTTTCCTTGGTTTCGAAAAACGGTTTCCATAGAGATTCCTTAACGGAAACGCAGAATCGAGTTTCGGAACCGGAATAACGAGGTCGGTGGAGAGATTCCGGTAACTCTGCTTACATATTGGGAAGCAATCGTAATGAAACCGTACTTCAAATGGGGCTGATTTGATGATCATAAAATGAGCTTTGAAGAACTAGGTGGTGCATGGAAACACTAGGCCAAATTGGCTTCATATAGGCATTATGCATGAGCATCCATGCAATTGAACATGGTAATGGCTCATAAAATTGGTCTATTGGCTTAGATGGATGATGTTGCTGTAAATAAGTTAAACTCAGTCATAACCAGCAGCATAGAATATGAATTTGAGCTACATTGATGAAGAATTGAGCCATAGTTGAACCATAGGGTGTACGGGCAAAGGCCAAGGTGAAAAATGTGGGCTAGGCTGCTCATGGCCAGAGGGCATGGCCCCACTCTCTCTCTCTCTCTATGTGGGGAGTGCCTCTCTTGGGGTCTCTCTCTCTTTGATGGTTGGGGCCATGAGCTACTCATTTTCTCTCTCTCTATGGGGAGTACCTCTCCATGAGCTACTCGCTTTTTCTCTCTCTCTCTCTCTCTCTTTTTAATTTAGCCTGGTAAATTTACAAATTGAGTTGAGTAACAAATTGGGAGGGGCCCTATTTATGGGTTTTGGGAGAGTGTAGAAAGTTCCTTGTCTTAAGCCATTCATCTATAGACTTGTTATCATAGATCTGAAGATGGGATTTAACACTACTATCTCCAAATTCAAATTTCAATTCCAAATTTCCCGCCAATCTTGATTTTCAATTTTTAATTTCAAAATCGAAATTAAAATTTTCTACAAAGCCCATTTTGCCCATTGTAAATTTCATTGATCAAGGGTGATTAAGTGTAGAGTCACGTAGTTTTCAATATTATTCTCTCGTTGCACATGAAATGAGAGATAATATGACTTTCTCTAGATCAACTACGGTGCACATGGGGTTCACATCGAATGAATGAGAGCGTGATAAGTGTCATGCAAATGGGCTTTTTGATTCACCATTTTCCCAAGGGTTTCAATCATAATACCACACCCTATTCCCCTTCTAAATTTCCCATCAGCCCTAGGGTTCAAATCATAATATCAAACCCTATGCCTCTTTGAGAAGATTACCTATTTGCAAATCCAATTCATCAATATGGTAAAATTCAATCACTTAAAACATCTCTAATCAAAATTTTCTCAAATAAGTGCGCATAAATGCCTCAACCTAACACCTATATTAGCACTACTCCCCCATGTGGATCATGTCACCCTGAGATCGCCCTCATGGGGGGTTGAGTTGGGGGCCATGTGTGGTCTATTTGGATTGTATGTGTGGCCAATAAATAAAAAAAGGGATTGTGTACAAAGATACCAATTATCTTTTGTACTTGGATGTCACAATCATTCCCACTCATTTGATTTCAAATTGGATGGCTTGGGGTGAGTCATGAAGTCCAAAAAATATATATATATTTTTTGGAACTGTGTTTATTCAAGGACACTCTTACAACCACCTATTTTGAAATTTAAAGGATGACAAGAATGATTGTGATCTCTGTGTGCAAAAGATAAATGGTCTCTCTCTAGACAATCCCCTAAAAACAAGGTGAAAAGGAGAAAAAACTAATAAAAAAAAATAATGCATAAAATGATTAGATCAAAACTAAATATTTGATTTCATCTAATAGAGAGACATTTTGGGATGAAAATGGCAGAAAGTATTCATGAAAAAAGCACAAAAATTGATCATAGAGACTTTTGGTTTTGATTCAAAAAATTTATAGGGGTTTTGAGATCGAAGTGATAGGGACATCTTGGAGCATATTTGCACAAATTTGTGACACACTTTGGAAGATATTTGCACTAATTTGGGGAAACACTGAGTGAGAACTCTAAGATTTTCATATTTGGGATCTCTTTGAACGAGGTCTTTTGTCCACCAAATTGTGATATTATTGAACTAGTATGGAAAGAAGATACACTGCAATGCTACTAGTTTGAAACTTTGGTGCATAAAATTGTTGTTAATTTGCTTTCAAGTATTATTCTCATGTATTTCACATATCTTTGTTTTATTTTTAACTGTAGCAAGGGAGGCGAGAAAAAGCGGAAGCAAATTATCACAAACTTGCCAAATGGTTCTGGCTGGGGTGACCACATTCAATTGTTACAGATTTATAACACTTGGCATCAAATGGATTATGATCCTCGCTGGTGCAAGGACAATGGCTTACATGTAAGTTGTTCAGAATTAGTTTCTGGTGTTTCTATTAATTATTGCTTATGGTGATCTGGAGTTTTTTTCAACAGCAATACTAGCATTTGTGTCATGCGATGAGTTATATAAATTGTTAGCATACTGTCTGCATGAATATGGTAATTTTCGTTGTGGTGGAATGCTTATGGACATAACCCAAATATTATCAATATGACCATTAACTGTAGGCATCTAATGCTTTAGGCATGAAGTTAACCTTTTCTCAAAAAACAAAATGCTTAGGCATGTAATGCTGGTAATCTTATTGCCCTTGTTTTGCATTTATAGGAGCACATATTTACAAGTAGAAATATGCTTTTTATTGAGGGAATCAACTTATGTGAGAAAATTGTTTTGATTAATGTTAACGATACATTTCAGATTAGTTCCTTTCTTATCTTGTTTGAGGGCCAATAGGCATTCCTGTCCTTTTTTTTACATTCTCTTCTCCTTTCAACTTCTCTCTTGTATTCTCTCTTTTCTCCCTCTTCTTTGTCGCATCTCTTTCGTCTCTCTCTTTGATATTATATTATTGACATGGTATAAGACCAATCAGATCCTTAGATTTGAATTATTTTTTTCTATTTCTTTCTAATTGAAAGAGAAAGGAAAACACTAATTCTACTTTGTGATGGTTCACCAAGGAGCACTTAGTTTTTCTTCTCTTTTGCCCACAGAACTAATATGGTCTGCATTTGCTATGAAGATCTGTGCTACTAATGTTCCTCCCTTAGATGGGAAAATTCAAGAGGAATATTGAAAATAGACATAATCCTCACTCTTAATACTTAACTCCTCTCTAAATACTTCAGTGGATAAATCATACCTCAGTTGTCAGGTTTGGGCAAGATATAATTGCTTGCCAAAAGTCCTTGCTAGCAAATCATATGGGAACACCCATACACTAAATATGAATAAAATAAAATATGCTTTAAACAATTAATTAAAGGATTTTGTTGCTCAAGTTCCCTTTCAAACTTGGTCAAGAATGAGTCCCTTCTTGAAACCTCAGGTCCACCAGAAGGAAAGAGGGGGGCTCTTCTATAAAAACAAACCTCAGAACCGCATTCTTGAAGTGGGACCTCCACCTTAGATAGAATATCCCACTTATTGAGTCATACACTATGAGGTGTGTAGTCAAAAAGAAAAACTTATGGAGGATATATTATTGGCATAACCATTCCTAGTTAAGCAGGAGTGAATCTGACCTACATCACAACATGGGAAAATAAGTTCATGCTAGTTCTAGAGTATTAGGTACAAAATAACAAAATATCGTTAAGGATCTCAAACATGCAAAACAACAAAGCAATACACTGGATTCTATTGAACGCTCTTTAGCCAAATAATTCTCATCATCATTGATGAAAGTGTAACACTGAAACTATTAAGATGAGGTGACAATGAAGATGCCTTGATTTGGAAATAAATACGAAGATAGGTTGCACAGGAATACGATTTGGTGTTTCCTAGAATCCAGGACATAAAGTGATATGAGTTTCCTCAAATTGTTGCAGGAATTTTCTTAATATTGATTACTACGTGTACGCACATACAAACACTATAAAATAGCAGTAAACATATGTATTTTGTTAAGATTGAGAGAGGAGAGTGAATGTAATATTCAAGCCCAAGATAAGGAAAATATAGATGCATTTTTCACTCTATCCAAATCGTGGAGCCATGTGTCATATATATACACAAATACGGGAGTTACAATATAGCTAGGTTAACATGCATAGGAGTTACGGCCATTATGCTTAACTGTTACATAATTGTTATAGTAGGAAAATATTCAAATATGGTAACTGTTACAGCAAGAAAATCATCCATATATGATAGAATATTATACACTTTATCATCACATGTTGGCTTCTATAATGGGCATGAGGCCCATAGTAATTACTGCAGGTTTCATTGTTACTACTATCCCCTCCAAGCTGGAGCATATATATCATAAATGCCCAGCTTGTTCAAAGTATCCTTAGTCGAACTTGATCAAGGACCTTGGTAAGTATGTCTTCCAATTATTCTCGGATTGAAGAAATGTAGTTCATATTGTCTTTGAAGCGACCTTTTCTTTGATGAAGTAACAGTCACCTGCAATATGCTTGGGTCTTTCATGAAATACAAGATTAAAAGCGATATAATTGCTGCTTGATTGTCAAAATGTAGAGGAATAAGAGCTGTACAGTAACATCCATCTCTTGAAGAAGAGAACGAAGCCAAATTATTTCACATGTATCACTTGCCATTGCTCGATACTTGGCTTCTGCTGAAGATCAAGCTATAATGCTCTGCTTCTTGCTCATGTAGGTGACTAAGTTACCACCAATTGTCATGAAGTAGCCACTAGTGGATCGTCGATCAAGAGAACACCCAGCCCAATCTGCATGACAAAACCCTTGTACATCAAGTTGACCATGAATGGTATATATTAGCCCTTTACCTGGAGCAGATTTCAAATATCGTAAAATACAATAAACAACCTCCAATTGATGGCCTGATGGGAGCATGGTGTTTGCATAAACTGACTAGCCACACTTACAGCATATGCAATGTCTGGCCGTGTAACTGTTAAATAAATAAGCCTACCTACTAATCTATGATATATATTAAGATTACTCAAGAGGCTCTGATTGTTGATCACAGAATTTGTGACTAACCTTTGTGGGAGATTGTACTTGTTTGGCTCCAAGAATTCTTGTGTCATTGAGGAGATCAAGAGTATACTTTGGTTGAGACAAAATATTTCCTTGTTTAAACATGGTCACCTCTATTCCAAGGAAGTATTTCAATAGACCAAGATCCATGGTGTCAAAACAAATCCCGAGAAATCTTTCACTTTTTGAATCTTGTGATCATTATTTCCTGTGAGTACTATATCATCCACTTACACTACTAGTATTGTGGTAGAAGAAGAATCTCTTTTAACAAATACAGAATGATCTGAAATACTTCTTTGAAATCTGTGCTAACATATTGCCCCATTGAATTTTTCAAACCCAGCCTGAGATGATTGTTTCAGTCCATATATAGCTTTTCTCAATTTAAAAACCTTCCCTTTCTCCCCTTGAGAATAAAACCCATGTAGTAATGCCATATATGCTTCCTGTTATAGATCTCTATGAAGAAGGCATTCTTCACGCCTAATTGGTGGAGTGGTTATTTCCTGTTTATTGCAATAGATAAAAGTCTCATAGTAATTTTAATTTTGCTACAGGAGTGAAAGTCTCCTTGTAGACAACCCCATATAATTGTGTAAAATCCTTAGCCACCAAACAAGTAATGCTCTCAATTGAACCATCTAGTTTGTGCTTTAGGGTATCTACCCACTTGCATCCAACCACATGCGCTTCTGGCTGATCAATTACATCCCAAGTTCTTTACTTCTCTATGGCAATCTGCAATCATTTCCTCATTAATGGTTGTTGTCCATTGTGGATGAGCCAATACATCTGCAATTTTGGTGGGAATAGGAATAGAGGAAAGTTCATCAAAGATATGCATGAAAGGAAGGTTATAGTGAAACGTAAGGCACACTTGTATCCTTTTTCAGAGTTTGAGTATCCAAGGAACATACATTTAGTAGATTGAGGTCCTAGTTTATTCTTAGGCGGCCCCAGATTATGCACAAAGCAAACAACCAAAGGTTCTTGGTGGAAGATAAAGCAGAGGAAGTGCATGGTGGGGAAATTTGAAAGGATAAATACCATCAGGATAAGCGTAGCCATTTTATTGATTATATAGACAACAGTAAGACTTGCTTCATGCTAATATGTCTTGGGAACCTTCATTCCTATTAGGATGCTTCTCACACTTCTAACCAATGTTTATTTTTTCATTTCGCCACACCATTATGTTGTGGTGTATAGGAATACGACATTTGAGTTTCTATACCATGATTAAGAAAATAATTTTTTATTCATTTTATAGATATTCATGCATTATCAGAATGAAAGTTTTATATTTCGGTCTCAAATTGGGTTTGAACCATTTTATGAAATATTTTAACTACTGAAGGTACTTCATTTGAACTTTTCATAAGATAGATCCAAGTATAACGAGAGTAGTCATCGATGAATGGGATAAAATACCGATATCCAAATACATAAATTACTAGAGTGGGCCCCCAAATATCATAATGAACAAGATGGAATGACTTAGAACTTTACTTTCATTGGAAGGAAAAAAGGTTCTACAATGTTTAAACGATTGACAGGTCTCACATTGTAACTAAGGAACATTCAAAGAAACAAACTTATTTGGAAAAAATAATTTTAAAGACTTCAGAGACGTGGCCTTAGCGGGTGTGTCACAAGAGAACTTCTTTATGACTTCTAGACATAGAGTTAAGGGCAGTAGAAGTGCATCCCATGTTGAACAGGTACAACCCATTTTCTTCATGACCACAACCAATCGTCTTCCTCGTTTCAGTTCCTAAAAAGCACAATGTGAAGGATAGAATTGTTGGGTGTGTGTGGCCATTAAAGGCCTTATGAGTGCTTGTAATTGAACTTTTGATATAATAGAACATGAACTCAGTGGGAATGTGGTCCTGTGTGGACCATACTAAGAAAATGATGTTTGCTGATACTAGCTTGAGCTTGATGTGGTAAGCCAATCGGTTGGGAAAAATGTTACTTAGGCATAGGGATTAAACCGATAAGGGTTATAATGGGTCATCCCTTGATGAGGTCGGAGTATGCTCGGATATGTGAACCGAGAGACTATGTGGCCCTTGTGTATGATGGTGGCCTTCAGAGACGGGGGCCAAAGCCTTATCCGCATATCATCACACGGCATGCACAGATGATAGCTGTTTCGGGAAAGTGAACCACCTTTCAGGTTGAAGCTTGTGCATGTGCGAGAGATTACCCTTATGCAGCATAGAATTGTGGATTTCATTAAGTCTAGGTGATCTTGGTACGTCTCTAGAAGAGAACTTGAAATCCATACACTGAGTTTACAACCCCTTG